TTACGTATCGCGACCCCGAGTTTTGTTACCGACAAATTTCCAACGAATCCTTAAACGTATCTGTTCTCCCGGGGAAACGTTTTCCGCGGAACGATCGGAATGGCGAACAAAATGATCGTTCCTCGAGGTTTCAAAGTGCATCCAGGTGTGGAACAGTCTGTAGGTCAGTTACACTGTTACTGTTACCGTCCAGGCAATTACCGGTTATCTCGCGGCACGGCAACGGTACGCGCGGACGACGTACGCTCGCGCGATGGAATTCAGCTGGAACCCCTTCCGATGCAACCTCTACCTCTTTATTTATTTTAGTCGTAGTTGGACCGCGAACTTTCTTCGACTCGTTGCTCCGTCACAGTTTCGACCCGTAAAACGATTAATCGAATCTTCGAAGGAAGCAAATATTTTCGACGACGGCTCGACTTTCCTCGTCGATAACGCAAAAATAGAAAGCTATTTTCCTAAAACGCAAGCATCGCGCGTCTCTGATCCCCCGAACCATAACACTCCCTCTATCGCTCTTTGTCCCTGTTGGCAACGAGAAGGGGTTATTCGCCCTCCGCAATTGACTGGTAGCTGGATCCCATTTTTATTTTTGTTCGGAACAGCGTAAAAGCGTCTATCTAGAGGGGGAGCACTCTCGATCGTGAGAATTTCAGAGGGGCTTGGACTTTTTGGCCGTTTTCGAGCCCTAATACGCGGCGTGGCGCGAAACTTTAGGCATTCGGGATGATCGAGCAATAGGCTATCGGCGATAATAGCAGACATCGAGCCAGGCGTCGTTACGACTAATGAGCTAGGCGGGTGCCGGGCCTCTTTGATCCGCGGCGTTAGAATTAGAGCCCGGTGTGCCACGGCATTTCGCGGACCGGATAACCCAATAAAAAGGACTAGAGAAAAACGTGGACCGAATATATCGACCACACCCAACGCGTTCTCGACGCGCGTATACCGTACCGGGTCTGTTTTTTCTTCGATCTACGGTTCACGCCGCTTTCGACGGCTCCGTCGACCGGTAAAAAGCTCTCTACCGATCAGAAGAACCGTGCTTTTCCATCCCCGAAACCCGTCGTTAATTCATGTACATTTTAGATTAACCTCGTAAACGGTGATTGTTTCGTGGCTCGCTAAAGTAATTATCGGTAATTCAATTTCAGGGAAATTAATCGAGTTAATTATTCGCGAATTAATTATCGGTGATCGCGTAATTACCGCTACGTCGATCGCTACTTGGTTCGCCTGTTTCGATTAGGCTCGTTAAAAAATGTTTTACCGCTTCGATAGGCGACGTTTGTCGCCGGTTCGCGTCGACGTGTTCTCGATCGCGAAAAGTAGAGGATCTATTCGATTTCGCAGGAGGTACGCAACGAGACTCGCGGCAACGACGTAGAACACGAACGATGCAAAAGCTGACGGGTCACGACAGCGTGTTCCTCGCAGCGAACGGCTGCCGATCGAAGCGATGGCACGAACCCCGTGTCCCTGTCACGGTCGTCCGAAGAAGAAGCTTCCTGCGACGTCATCCTTGATTCTTGGCTGCGCGCGTTAACCTTTTAACCCTCTGCGCTCCGAGGCTTTCTTGCCTCGAGAAACCAGAGATTCCGACCTTTTTCGGTCGCTCGAATTTCCTTGATTAGCTCTCCGAGTCCTCGGCTTTTCGACCGCATCAAAATTTCAACCTTCCTTTCGCGACGTTTCGACAAAATCGAAGCCTTTGGCCCGTGGAACGACAAAATCTCGAGCAAGCTTCCACGTACTGTTTATTCAGGGTGCGTACCCTTGGTACATCGGCCTGGCCGTCTCGAACCCCGTAATTATAAGGGACCGGTTCTCTCTGGCGTACATCTACGGTACACATCGTACGTTCTTGCTGCCTCTACCGTAAACTTTCCGCGTAATCGTCCTACGAGCGTCGATATTAAGAGTTCTCTGTCCGGTCTGCTGGCCGACTATGGGAATCGGCGCCATTCACTCTCGCCTTCGAATAGAATAAACCGGTCGAATGGCGAGGAAAAATATTCGCCGGCATTCGTTGATACACGCGCAAGGGACACCGAACCGAGTCGCGCCACGCTGCTTATCCACCGTGTAAAGATCTCGATAACGCGTCGGCCAAATCTTTCTTCGCGTCTTGTTTTTACGGATTTAAGGAATCTGTCAATCGCGTACATCTTCTCGAACGATCGATGAAAAGACGAAGACGAGAATGGATTTTGGATATTCGCAAGTGCAGAAGTTGAAAGATTTGGAAAAGAGGAAACGAGGAGGTTGGATTCGCTGGTACAAAGGTAAAGACTCGAAGAGGGTAAAAATGTAAATTAGTCGTGAAAGGGTTAAAGCAGCACGGTACGCGCGTACGTAAAGTCAAACAGGATATCGTTGGTTCGGTCAGACGAGATTCCACGAGTAAACGGCCACGTTGCAATCGGAATCCTTTCACGGTCGAGCCGAGAGCGTGCGCTCGGAAGGCTGCGGGATTTCTAATGCCCGGCCGTGGTCAGAATTACCCGCGGCGCGTTAATAAACCGCCGGTTGAAGCCGGTATCGCGTGTCGCGAAATTCCAGCCAGCTGAATCATGCGAGAACGCCCATATTCGCCGAGAAACCTATCGATCTTCGCTTCCTCGGACTTACCGGCCCTTCAGCGATTCTGGATCCTCCTATCTTCCGTCGAATATTCCGTTCCAACTTTCCACCGTCCGTTACGCGCGAAACCGTTCTTCCGAAGCGCCGACTCGATCCGGAACAATAACGCGCTCGCTTTAAACGCAAGTCGTCGAACTGTCCAACCATCGAAATCGGTCTGGAAACGCAAAATGGAAAGTAAGCAAAGTCGGAGAATTCGCTAGCGAGCTTTCCTTTTTTCCAGCGATAGTTGGAAGATGTTCAAGTAGACGTTGCTCTCGCGGGATTCGAAGCACGTGCTCGCGAACACGCGTCGATCGTGCTAATTCGACCGATCGAGGCGTGCACGTACCATCCGTATAATCGTTACAACGATCGTTTTTCCTTCTACGGTCTCGTCCACGACGCCGTTCAACCATCGGTTCGCGAAAAGGCCAAATTTCTGGCGGCG